GACTTTCCCGGCCCGGGGCCCGACCCCGCGTCCCCTGCATCGGCAGGCGGACTCTCAACCACTGCGCCACCAGGGAAGCCCCTCCATATGTCTTTTTGTGATGCTACAACACTTCGAGCTCCTGCCAGATGAAAGGGATTAAACAAAACCTGAGAAGAGGGGTGACCGGAAGCCAGGGTGACCGCACAGCTCCTGGAGAAGATAACACTTCTCTGAGTTCAAGGGAGAACCAGGCGGGCCCCTGGAGGCAGGAAGGCACCATTTCTCTTCCTACAGAATCACCCTAGGGTTCCCCTTTTTCCTCCCACTTCCCAGCTATCCAACCCTGGTACCCCGATACCCACGCCCTCTGCAATCCCCTCCCCTCCTGTGGGAAGACATGGTCCAAGGCTACGGCCGGGCTGGAGCCCCGGGCTCTTCCGCTAGCGCTAGGGCTCCAGCCGACCCTGCTTTTGGAAGGGGATGAGAGGTGACTTTTGAGGGGCTAGAGGTCAAGGGGGGTATGTGGGAAGTGATCAAATTGTCTTGGAGAGGGAACAGGGGAGAGAATACTGCCCTCCGCCCCCAGCAAGAACTGGCCATGGGGACTGGCTGTGCTCATGGCCAAAGCTCCCTGCCCTCGTCCTGGGGCAAATGCATCCCTCCAAGCACACAAGGACCCAGAGAACAGGAAGGGTGGCTTAGAAAGGAGACCGCATGAGACAATCAATCCTTCATTTCTCTCTTCTGCTACACCGGCATTGGTAGGGATCCCAGGCAGTGCCCACCGAGTCAGGGCAGCACATTCGCTGCTCTCCTGCTGCAGGTCCCTCCCCAAGGTACCAAACCCCAGCTGAGACCACCCCCGCCCCCCAGTCCCAGCCCCTGACCATCACACACACACACACACACACACACACACACACACACACACACACACCAGTCCTAGGGTCAAGCCGGCCACCACAGCACCCTGGGCAGCGGGGCACTTGGTGTTGAGGACCATCAAACCATCCCCTCCTTCCAAAAACATGTCTTGAGTAGCCATTAAGTGCTCAGCACTGGCCTCGCACGGGCATAGGCGTGCCCCTCCCCAGCCCCAGCTCCCATCTGGGTATCACTCAGTCTGTTGAGACTCCCCCACAGGGACGCCCCTGTGCTATCTGGCAGCTGAGCGCAGCTGGCTGGTGCCACAGCTGACCAGTCCAGACCTGCGCCATCTCACCCAGGGAGCCTCACCCAGGGAGCCTCGCCCAGGGCCGTCGACAGCCCCCGCACTCAGTGCCCGAGGGCTGCGGTCCCACCTCCAAGGAAGGACACAGACGGGCCTCAACCACCACAGACACATCCAGGCTCCAGGGTGAGGATGTCTGATCTTACCTCCTCCCTCAGCCCTTCCCGGGACTTTTCCCGGCCCCCGTTTTGGGATGCTTGTGGAATTCTGTTCTCAGGTCTGAGAGCCTTGAAGAAAGCACCTTTTGATAGGGTCTTACCCACTGGGGTTCTAAAAGCCACCATTCCTGGTCATTCCCCACACGCACCACGCAAGCATCCCATCCCGCCCATGGGTCTGCTTGGGTCCAGGCCCCCTAGAGCGCCGCGCCCTTGGCGCTGGGGGTGGGCGCCAGGGCGCCCCGGTGAACGCGCTGGTGCTTGAGCAGGTGCTGCTTCTGGCTGAAGCCGCGGCCGCAGGAGGCACACAGGTAGGGCCGCTCGCCCGTGTGGTTGCGCCGGTGGCGCGTCAGGTTGGGCTTCTGGCTGAAGCGGCGCCCGCACTCGGGGCACGGGTAGGGCCGCTCACCCGTGTGGATGCGCTGGTGGATGGTGAGCGCCGACCACCAAGAGAAGCTCTTGCCGCACTCGTTGCAGATGAACTGGCGCGGCTCACCCGGCCCACCCGCCCGCGCCCGGCCCCACGGCACGTCCCCGGCCGCCCGGGCCGGCGAGGGGCCGTGCGACGGCGGCAACAGGCCGGGGGCGCCCTGGGCGGGCGGCTCGGCGGCGGCGGCGGCGTGGGCCTGCTGGTGGGCCCGCTGGTGGGCCCGCAGCGCGGCGCGGCTGGGGCGTGGCGCGGCCGGGGCGCCAGGCAGGTGCGTGCGCTGGTGCTTGAGCAGGTGCTGCTTCTGGCGGAAGCTGCGGCCGCAGTGCGCGCAGGGGTGCGGCCGCTCGCCCGTGTGGTTGCGCAGGTGGCGCGTCAGGTTGGGCTTCTGGCTGAAGCGGCGCCCGCACTCGGGGCACGGGTAGGGCCGCTCGCCCGTGTGGATGCGCTGGTGGATGTTCAGCGACGACCACCACGAGAAGCTCTTGCCGCACTCGTTGCAGATGAACTGGCGCGGCTCGGCGGGGGCGGGGCAGCAGATGGCATTGGAGGGGCTGGCATTGGAAGGGTAGTCAGGGCCAGGTGGCCTGCAGCCTCGTAGAGCATGGCGCGGGCGACAGCCCCGGTGGGCCGTGGCGTCCCGGAGCAGCGTCTGCAGCCCAGCGCGGGTGCCCTGGCGGTCCCGGGCGTGCGCGCGCTGGTGGATGCGGAGGCCCACCTGGTGGCGGAAGCAGCGCTCGCACTCGGGGCACGGGTGGGTGGCGGGCCGGGAATGGGTCTTCTGGTGCTTGAGCAGGTGCTGCTTCTGGCTAAAGCGCCGAGCGCACTCGGGGCAGCAGAAGGGCCGCTCGCCTGTGTGGTGCCGCTGGTGGCGCGCCAGGTTGGGCTTCTGGCTGAAGCTCTTGCCGCACTTGCCGCACGGGTACGGCTTCTCGCCGGTGTGGGTGCGCTGGTGGATCTTCAAGGTCGACCACCAGCTGAACCTCTTCCCACAGTCCGGGCACACGAAGTGACCCTCGCCGGCAGAAAGAGCGGGGCGCAGGGGGCTGGGGGTCACCCCCGGAGCCCGGCCTGCCGGCCCGCCGTCCTGCTCAAAAGGAGGGGCCCACCTTGGACCCCCAGTCTCCTCCTGTCCCCCCCAGGCTCGAGGCTTCCCCACCGTCTGGCATGGCGGGACGCCCCGACGCTGCTGGAAAATGTTCTCCTTATCCTTCTGGGAAAGCGCAGCCTGTGGCCCCAGCGTCTGCAGCAGCCACTCTGGCTTCTCTTGCTTGATCTTCATGACCAGCACATCTCCTGCCGGAGGCAGAGGGAGAGAGACGGCGAGAGTCATTCGGTGCTCGGTGGGGTGGAGGGAAAGGGCGGGAGGGAGGGAAGACGTGTCAGGAGGGCAGAGCTTGGCAGAAAATAGGGCGGGAGAAAAGGATGCAGAGGAAGAGGAGAGGAGGGAGGGTGGAAAGGACAATAAAGGGGAGACTGGGCTGTGCGGGAGAGCAAAGAAAACAGACAAGGAAGAAACGATAGGTGAGCGTTGCTGTGCCAATGACCCCGCTGCCCGCCTCCTCCATCCTGAGGCCCAGGGGAGTCTTCCGACCCAGGAAGCAAGCAGAAAGTGGCCAAGTTTCAAAACATCTCCTTCTCTTCCTAAGGAAATGGATGTGTTGGACACTTGCTGGACGAGTGCATGTCCAGTCCCCCCAGGGGTTGGGCAGCCAAGCCCTGCATCACCGCCAGGCCTCTCCGGGGCAGCAGCCGTGGTGCGTCAGCACCTTACCTTCTTGGCAACCTCACCTTTCTTCAACAAAAGCATGAACAAGAAAGTAGGCCAGAAATGTCTCAGCACCCAGAACAGGTGTTGCGTCGTTCTTGTACTAAACGAATCCTACACAGCAGCAGCACACTCAGCTGCTAACCCACCCCTTACACTGTGCTCAGGTCAGAAGGGTGCTTTGCTTCTGGGCTCATGGACATAAGCCATGATGGAAAAGGTTTGCTGTAGACACTGCATACAGACTGTCTGATTCCATTTATACATAGGTCAAAAGCTGGCAACTAATGGATGAGTTAGAAGGGTAATGGTCCCCTGATAGAGGGCACTGTGGTTGGAAGGGGGCCTGGGGCACTTCTGGGGCTCTGGCAATGTTCTCCTTCTGGATCTGGGTGCTGGTTATGTGGGTGTGCTCACTTGGAGAATTTATACAGCCCGCGACCTGTGCACTTTTCTGTGTTACACTTCAAGAAAAAGTTTATGTTCAATAAAAAATAAATGAAACAGTTGTGAACAAAGAAGAGAAACTCTAAACAACAGTTGCCAATCCACCTGCCAATGCAGGGGACACGGGTTCGATCCCTGGTCCGGGACGAGTCCACACCCCACGGAGCAACTAAGTCCACGCACCACAACTGCTGAGCCTGCGCTCTAGAGCCTGCGAGCCACAACTAGTGAAGCCCGCACGCCACAACTACTGAAGCCCGCGCAACTAGAGCTCGTGCTCCTCAACAAGAGAAGCCACCAAAATGAGAAGCCCGCGCGCCGCAACTAGAGAAAGCCCGCGTGCAGCAACGAAGACCCAACGCAGCCAGAAAAAAAAAAAAACGCTGTCAATATTAAAAATACAACAAAGCAAACCCTAAGGAAGTAAGAGGAAGGAATTAATAAAGACAAAAGCAGAGATGATGGGATAAAGGGAACATAAAGATAAAAAAGGGATTCTGATAAATCCCAAAATACCATGTATAGACATTATATCAATTTGAAAAATCTATGTAAAATGGATGATTTTGCGAGGAAAAATAAATTAACAAAACTGACTCAGGAAAAGGTAGAAGCCATGTCTATAGAAACAATTAGAAGAGACTGAAAAGAAAGCTAAAGTTCAACCTCGAAAATGGGTAACTGGCCACTGAACCGTACGAAGAGGTTCTACTAAAACTTCACGGGAAGGGCTGTTCCCAGCTTACATAAACTGTGACCATGCCTAGGGCAGGGGGAGGGGGGAAGCTTACATGTTAACATGACCCAGAATAAGACAAGGGTGGGGTAGCAGGAAATTATAGGTTTATCGTTCTTTGAAAGTAGATGCAAAAAAACAAGCAAAAACACTGGCAGAGCAAGTCTGGCAGTGTTAAGAGAACAATCTCTCATGGCTTTGCTGGATCTTCCCCAGGAAAGCGAAGGTGACTCAACACAGTTCATGACATTAACCTTTTAAACATTAAAAACCTTATACTATCTCAATAGATGTGAAAAAGTCCCATGATAAAATTCAGCATCATTTCTGGAGGGAGAGAAGGAAAAGGGAAAGGCGGGAGGAGGAAGAGAGGGAGGAAGGAAGGAAGCTCTTAGCAAACCAGGAACATAAGGAAATTTTCTTAGGTTGACAAAGGAGCTGTATTAGAAACGGCAGCAAATGTTATAACCGAAGGCAAAAGATTAGAAGCCTATTCAAGTTAGGAACAAGGTGAAAAAAGAAAGATATATATAAATATTGGAAAGGAGGAGAGAACTGTCATTTGCTGATAATTATTAACCTAGAATATGCATGAGAATCCACTGATGAAGATTTAGAAATAAAAGTTTCAACAAAACTGCCAGATACAAACCATTAAAATTCATAACTTTTTAAAATGGCAATAAAGTAACTGTAAGTATACCTAATATATAAGCAAAACATAAAGAAAACTATTAAACTTTATTGCAGGGATAAAATGTAAATAAAACAACAGGGACGTCATATTCCTAGATAAGCTCTCCATTCCAAAATGTTTAAATTCAGTGTAATCCTAATTAAGTAAATTATAACATTTACTATGTGTGTAAATCACCCAGAAATTCTAAAAATGAGCAAGGAAGAATTTGGCTTATGCAACATTAAAAGCTAAAACACTATCACCACACACCCATTAGAATGGCTAAAATCCAAAACACCGACAACACCAAACGCTGACAGGGATGTGCAGCAACAGGAACTCTCATCCATTGCTGGTGGGAACGCAAAATGTTAAGGCCACTTTGGAAGACAGTTTGTCTGTTTCTAACAAAACTAAAGATACTCTTACCATACGATCCAACAAATCACTCTCCTATGTATTCACCCAAAGGAGTTGAAAACTTATGTCCACACGAAAACCTGCACACAGATGTTTATAGCAGCTTTATTGATAACTGTCAACACGTGGAAGCATCCAAGAGATGTCCTTCATTGGGTGGATGGATAAACAGTGGTACACCATACAATGGAGTATTATTCAGTGATAAAAAGAAATGAGATCTCAAGTCATGAAACGACATGCAGGAAACTTAAATGCATATGACTAAGTGAAAGAAGCCAATCTGAAAAGGCTACATACACACTGTATGATTCCAACTATATGACATTCTGGAAAAGGCAAAACTGTGGAGACAATAAAAAGATCAGTGGTTGCCAGGGATTGAAGGGTCAGGGGGAAAGGGATGAATAGGCAGAGCACAGAGGATTTGTAGGGCAGTGAAACTCCCTGTATGATACTGTAATGGTAGGTACAGGCCATTAAGCATCTGTCCACAGAATGTACAACACAAAGAGTGAAGCCTAATGCAAACTATGGACTTTATTTAATACAAATGTGTTAGTAAAGTTTCATCTACTGTAAAAAGTGCACCATTCTAATGCAAAATGTTAATAACAGGAGGAACTGTAGAGAAGGGTATAGGGCACTCTTTGTCCTTTCTGCACATTTTCTCTGTAAACCTAATATTGCTCTAAAAAATAAAGTCCATTTAATAAAAGTCTTGACTGATGCAGTTGTATTGACACGGCTGTTCCATAGTGAGCCAGGTGAGGTGAGGCTGTGAGTGAGAGTCCCTCCCCCCACCAAAAAAAAAGGCTAAAAACAATCATTAAAAGTGTAGAATAGGGTTTCCCTGGTGGTGCAGTGGTTGAGAGTCCGCCTGCCGATGAGGGGGACACGGGTTCGTGCCCCAGTTCCGGAAGATCCCACATGCCGCGGAGCGGCTGGGCCCGTGAGCCGTGGCCGCTGAGCCTGCGCATCCAGAGCCTGTGCTCCGCAACGGGAGAGGCCACAACAGTGAGAGGCCCGCGAAACGCAAAAAAATAAAAATAATAAAAAATAAAGTCCGTATCCTTCAGAGAAATATGCTGAAACATTAATATATTAATTGATCTGATGACCAGGAGAAGCAAATACAGTATTAGAAGAATTAGGAGAATTTGTTTCGAATCTAGAGGTAATTGATAATCTTCAACAGGATGCAAAACATAAAAACTAAATTTAAAACCCCTGTACGACACAGGATACTGCATATGAGCAAACTAGAAATGATCGTGGGGGGCAGCCTTTTCCAACAGAGCTTTCCACAGAGTGAAAACATTTTACATCCAAGCTGTCTGATACATGTGGCCTCTAGCCACAGGTGGTTACAGAGCACTTGGAATGTGGCTAGTACTACCAAGGAACTGAACTTACTTTTTTTCATTTAAATCTAAATTTAAATTTAAATAACCGTATGTGGCTATTGGCCACCGACTGGACAGCACACGTCTATCCAGAGTATATAGAGGACTCCTATAGATGGGATGAAAAGAGGTGCACCCTCACTAGTAATCAGCAAAGCACAAAATAACAGTGTAGCATCTTTTCACCCATCACAGCAGCAAATATTGAAGAGGTTGATAATATCCCGACTTCACAATACACATGGAAATTACATAGGAGGATAAGTACAACATGGGGGCCTAAATGAATTCAGACTCTTTGAGGACAACTTGACAGTGCTTATTCAAATTATAAATGTGTACAATCTTCCACCCAGCAATTTCGCTCTAGGTGTTTATCCTAAGAAATACAAATGAGTCCAAAGAGGAACGCCTAAGTACATTCACTGAAGTGCTATCTGTAATTAAGAAAAAGGGGGGAGCAACCTAATTAGCCATCAATAATAGTCTAATAAAATTTTCACTCCCGTCATAAAGTGGAATACTGTGCAGCGATTGAAAAGAGCTATATATGCTCATGTGAAAAGATTGCGAAAACATTTTAAGAGAAAAAACAAAACTGAAAATCAGTATCAGTCGTCTGATCCAACTTATGGAAAATAAAACCATACCTCTCTGTGTACATACACATGCCCGATCCAGGACGGTTCGCACCAAACCCAAGATGGTGGCCACCCTGCAGGTGATATGGACCATAGCAGAACTAGATGGAGAAGTCAAAGGGGACTTACACTTTATATGTGTTATTTGAATATTCTCATAAAAATTCAAACATTATAATTTTTAAGTCTTTAAAATATCTTAGGAAATAAAGAGAAAACCTCCCGTCTAATCTGGTGGCCTTTAGTTTTGAGGCCAAAGAGCTCTGCACTCACTCACTGGCCTCACTGGCCCCACTCACTGGCCCCACTCCACAGACTCACTGGCCACGTGGGGGCAAAGAAACCGATGTGGTTTCCACCTGGCGAAACGATGCTGTGAGGCCTCCCCAGATGCTCGGTTGTGAGAGGTCATTTTATCAGGAGGAATAATTTGAAAATGAAAGTGGTGATTTAAATTGTGCGCTGGCAGGAATCGAAAACCCATGTGTAATGAGCTTCACTGATTCAAAGAATGTTTCCTTAGATGCACTGAATTGTTGGCCAGCGGAAGTATTTAACAGGGCTAGCTGTCCAAATTGGTGGTCATGTAGTGAATCCAAAATATACTCCAGTCAGAGGGGCACCACTGTCCCCAAGTGACAGGACACCCATTAATGCCCCAGAGCCCCACAAAAGCCACTGCCTTTCCCTGATTAAACCTGGCCTTGATATCCATCACAGTGGCTGGGTTGCACGAGGAGGCCCTGAAGCCCAGGGGTGGTGTGTGTAGACCTGTGATGTGTGTTGTTGGGACTTCAGTCGTCATGGGCACCTTCCGTAGGGATCAGGCACTGATACAGAGGAAAACAGGCTTGTGCCTGCCTGTTCCAAAGGTACTGGTCCTCAGTCAGCATAAAAAGCTCTAAATGGTTCAGATAAAATAAAAAGGTGCTAAAAGGAGAGCTGTTGCTTAATGGGTAGTTTCTGACATTATGGGAAAATTTGAGAAATGGATAGTGGTGATGGCTGTACCACAGCGTGAATGTGCTTCATGCCACTGAACTGTACCCTTAAAAATGGTTAAAATGGGGCTTCCCTGGTGGCGCAGTGGTTGAGAGTCCGCCTGCCGATGCAGGGGACACGGGGTCGTGCCCCGATCTGGGAAGATCCCACATGCCGCGGAGCGGCTGGGCCTGTGAGCCATGGCCACTGAGCCTGCGTGTCCGGAGCCTGTGCTCCACAGCGGGAGAGGCCACAACAGTGAGAGGCCGGCGTACAGAAAAAAAAAAAAAAAAAATGGTTAAAATGGTAAATTTCATGTTATGTATAATATATTTCACCACAATTAAAAAAACACACATAAAACAAAAATAAAGTAAAAGGTACCTGAAAGAGGTAAGCTCCCAATTATCTGAAAGCTCTGGCCTTCCAGAAGAGTCATTCCTTCAGCCTGGCCAGCAGGCGTGGCAGCCTGTGGAGGCTGAGCTCACGGGGGCCCCCAGGCCTCAGTGGCTCCAGGGTCCAGGCCGGTGTTTTTCTACCTCTTCCCAAAGCTGCAGCTGTGGTACGGGGCAGAGAAGGCCCTGGTGGAGCCCATCTCTCACGTCTGCATTAGGATCTCCCTTACGAGTTTACGTGGGCAAAAGGATCCTTCAGCTGAAATGTTTGGAACTGTCTGCCCTAGGTTTTCCTGTAATTACTGTAATGTCAGCCTCACACACACAAACACACACACACACACACCTCGAGTGCTCTCAGCGTTCAAAGCGACAGCCTTGGGCAGGGGTTGGGGGGGACTGGGAAGTGGGGTGGCTGAATTCACTGCCGTCTGTGTCAGGACACAGCCCCAGAACAGTGTGGTGTCCATGTATCATACTGCCTCCTTTGAGCTGGTGTTTTGTTTCTTTTTTATCCAATTGCCTGATTTTTGTCTCATCTTAGGCCCACTGCAGTGATTGTCCTGGGAGGGCGGGGGCTCTGGGGTCTGCAGGGCAACTCCCCTGGAAGGGGTGGGAGGTAAAGAAGCTTGGTCACTGTGCTGAGCAAGGGGCAGAGTTCCCAGGCCTGGGCCAGTCCCCTCTCCCGAGGCCAGAGCCACCGTGCAGCCCAGCTACACCCAGAACAGGGCCTGCCACAGAGGCTGAGAGCGGGTCTCAGACCAGGGGCTGCTCCATCCCAGAAGCGGGAAGCGGGTGGCTGGGGAGGGGTCTCCACGGGGTATTTCCCACTCTCAGCGGCGCCTGCCCCCTGCCTGGGAGACACCAGGACTAACTGTTGTGTTTCCTCACCACTGGCTCCAAGTGCATCAGCTGACACAGACCATGAACTGTGTGACCCCGGGAAGCTTAATGGACCGAACTGGAGACACTCTCCTGACCAACCAACAGCAGGGCTTGTTGCGACTACGTGTCCTCCCCAGAGCGCTGGCTTTCGGTGTGTGATCAGCGCCAACACCAAGCACTCCCCGATCTAGCACTTGACAGACACTTGATCTTCCCCCAGCAGATTTCTGCACGGTGTGTGTGTGTGTGTCCGTGTGTATGTGTGTCCGTGTGTGTGTGTGTGTGTCCGTGTGTGTGTGTCCGTGTGTGTGTGTGTGTGTGTGTCCCTGCCTGGCAAGCACAGGCTGGGCTTTGTCAGTTCTTAGCCCCCTAGTCTGTGTTTGCTCCATCCTTGGACGTGACCTCAGTGTCCTGGTCCCACCGTGTGGTTCTACAGGCCACCAGCAACTCCTGCTCAGCTACAGAGAGACGGGGAAGACGGGGCTGGGGAGGGGCCGTGGTGGGCTCCCACCTGGTCCTCTTCTCTTACCTGTGCTGCTGTCGCCAGCCAGGCCACTCTCCATCCCCGGAGGCCCCTCGGCATCAGCACGGCGGCTCCCTGCCCGGCCGTCTGTGGGTGAGATGGGAGAAAAGGAAAGAGAGTTGGCCTGTGGGACAACGGCAAATGCCACTCACAGGAAGCAGTCCCTCTTTTTCAAAAGCTTTTCTATGACCTCTGCTGAAATGAGCAGGATTTTTTTAAAAAGCACATATACCTGCTAGGCAGGTAAAATATGTATAATTCCCATTTTATGAAGAATAAACTGAGGCCAGAGAGGGCCGCTGACATGCCCCAAGTGACAGAGGTGGCCGAACGGCAGAGCTGCGCAAGGTCCCTGGGCTTCTAACTCCCAGACCAGAGCCTCATGCCCACACTCTCATCACCTGCGGGGTGGGGTGTGAAGGTTGCCACAAGAGAGAACCAGAAAACTCAAATAAGTTTAGAGACACCCCCTACCCTGCAACGTGGTCATGAGGACACCCTGGAGGGAAGAACCATCCCTCCAAAATCACCAGCCCCCCGTCTCTCAAAGCCCCCAGCCAGGTTCCAGCACAAACCCTTCTGGGGCCTCACAGCCACCCCCCACCCCCAGGCAAGAACACACGTGGCCAACCTGGGTCCTAGGGACCTGATCCCTCATCCACCAATCTGGGGCTCATCTTTTTTTACTCTTCAGTCTTTCTTTTTTTTTTTTTTTTTTTTTTTCGGTACGC